CGAAAAGTGGAAAAAATTCGACAATATTGTGCGAAAAAGATCATGGATTAAGCGTGGTGAAGCTCAATAGATGGTCGCAAAGCCAGGATTGACTCTCGAAAGGTTATGCTTTGTGATTTGTGGGATTGGAAAGGAGTCTCCAGCCTGGTCAAACGATTGACCAGGAATCGACACAAAAACGGCCAGAACTGATCAACAGAAAGGGCTTCGTCTTCCACCAGGACAACGCTGGACCACACACATCTTTGTTGACTTGGCAAAAACTGGGATAGTTTGGCTGGGAAGTTCTGATACATCCACCATATAATCCTTATCTTGCACCATCGGACTACTATTTGCTTTGGTCAAAGCATAACTAAGGGAGTTATGGGGGTGGGGTAAAGTTGGCTTGAAGAAAAGATTGTGAAAATTACTTCACGCAGTTTTTCGCCGAGAAATCAGAAATGTTTTACACTAATGGAATAATGTCTCTAGTGGAAAAATAGCAAAAAGTGGTCGACAAAAATGATACATTTTGGTTCATTAAAGTTAATTATAAATATTAAGAAAATACGTTGAACTTTGATTAGAAATACGAAAAGACTTTTTCGACAATCTAATATTTTGAACCGATTAGGAAACAATTAAGATGAGTTTCAGATCATACACATTCAAATTTGTATACGTGTGCGGGATGGCTTAATGAGCTTTGGAGCTGGAGTTCGACAGTTTGGTAGGATTTTCTTGACTAAAACCATTTGGCGTCAGAGTAGTAGATACAAATTAATAAAATTTTAAATTTCTGAATATAAAAACATTTAAAAATTGTTTTCCTTTATTCAAAAATGGTTATTTATTAAAAAATATTATGTAATATTTTCTCTTTACATTTAAGAACCACCCACACATGCAAAATTGTAAGGTTAACTTAAAGATGGCGTACCAAAACTACGCCAATTCAACGCAAGCAATCATACATATACACACACACATATACATTTACAAACTGATACATAACTACCTTTGGAACGGTGTAGTCAAATTGTGACCCGAAGCGTAAAAGGTTATACTCATACGTGTCCCCTTGCGGTCCACTGGCGTCACCTGCGGGTTACTGAAACAAGCACCGTAGACGTTTAGACACACACATGTGAATACACCAAAATAATTGCTATTCATATATGTCTCGTGCTAAAAGGACAACATCGCTTTGTACTTAAATATTTTGTGTAAATATATTACAATTAAAATTTCAAACGACAAAGCAAATGATTAATTTAGAGGAAGCATTATATTATATATGGGATATACTAAATCAGATAGGGGCGGACCTTTTTGTGAAAGGGTTAAATTTACATGCCCTCAGGGCATCGTTAGTTGGCTCAGTTACAGCCAAATAGATGGCCTAGCGTCTCAACAGGAGGAGCTAGACGAAATAAAAGTAGGGTATTGCAGCTGACTAATGAATTATTGCGAGCGTGTTAATATAACTGTAGGAGCTTGGCTTGCGCTGAGTTGATATTATGTAAAGGAAGGCATTATTGCATCATTATTTATTAATTATTAGAAGGTATCATTGTCTCATTGTCTTATGTTGTTTTTTTTTTTTTTTTTTTTTTTTTTTTTTTTTTTTTTTTTTTTTTTTTTTTTTTTTTTTTTTTTTTTTTTTTTTTTTTTTACATGAAGCTTTTAATTTGTTCGAAAAGGTCAGCTTTGTTGGGAGCTGAATAGGTTATTAAGCGTAGTTGCACGAGTTAAGGTGGGGTAAGGGTCGAGGAAACACCAAACTGATTCAATGGTGGCCAAAGTCTTATCGAAAACAGCAAACAAATCCAAAAAGTTTTTAGATTTTTGGTTCAATTTAGATTCAGTACAAAATACTGTACTGTGTACTGTATGCTCGGCAACTTACTCCTCTTGACTTTTATCGGTTAGTTTGAATGTACTTATATGTCATGTGATGCAAACTGAGCAAATTTTTATAGCCTTGCATTAATATCTGTGCTAAACTTAGTAAGGTAAGTTTTCAAATATAAAACTTGTCCATTAAAGGATGTTAGTTTAATTGATCAGTTTACATGACAGCTTCTAACGGACATATGTGTTTCAGATTGATATCTCAAAAACTGATTGACTATTTTGCGGACAGACAGACGAACATACCTAACGCGACCCAGCTCGTCACGCTAATCACTTAAAGGGTAATTCAAGAAGATCAATAGCCTTTTTTAACAGATCACGCGTGAGTCGTGTCAAGCTGTCATGTTAGTTTTGTTCTATACTGTTTGGCATTTCATCATAGGAAGACCTATATCTGAAGAATTTTTACAAATCGTTCAACTTTATTACGAAAATTCTTCTCTCTACTTATGGTCAGTATCATCAGCCTACTGAGCGTATTATTCGTATCACTATCTCCCATCTTGAGACCCAGCATTCATTACTGGAAAATATTCGACCGCACAAACCAAGTGCAGTACGCGGTGAGGAAAATAATGCAGGCACAGCTGAGAGTGTACACGAAGACCGTGGAGAGTTGATTCGGCGCCGTTAGCGACAACTCTAGATTGACGTACGGAACGACTTTACTTGGGTTTGGTGTAGTTTGTGTTTTCTTCTAAAATTATACCGGTAAAAATGTAACCGTCTATTATGGTAAATGATAACCGACTATTCTGAAATTGAAACTCGTGATCTCGGCGACATTTAGTTTCAAGAAGACGAAGCCAATTTCTACACATCGCAACTATAGATCTATTAAGAAAATACTTCGTTGAGCAGATAATTTGACGTCGATTGGCCACCAGGATCGTGTGATATCACATGGATAGACTTTATTCTGTCGGGATGTGTAAAGTCTAAAGTCTATGCCGACCATCCCACTTCGATTAAGGCCTTGGAGAAAACCATCACGATTATCGTTCGCCGGTTACCAGTTGAAATGCTCGAACAAGTCTTCGAAAATTGAACTCAACGGATGGACCATCTGTAACGTAGCCGTGGCCAACATTTGAAAGAGATGATCTTCAAAAAATAAGTGCCAAGGAATGTTCTTTCAAATGATAATATATATACATTCCTTATTTCATGTAATCGAAAATGTAGGGAACCTCGAAATCGTTCATGGATAATTTCCTCCTGGGAGTTACATAATAATACGTGGCAAACTCTTGCGATAAAAACATCCAAACCAGATATTCGAAAAGGAAGCTCGTTATCCCTTTAAGAATATGTCTTCCTAAATGCATTGAAAAAATTGAGAAAATGTTAGTTAGAACAGAGCACACACAAACGTTGCGAAAATCAGGGCCAAAATTAAGCAGAATACAGGTATTCTACTTTTACGAAACTAGGTGTTCAACTCATGACGTACGTTTGGAAGAACTACAAATATTTAAAAAAGATGAACAGCTTTCGACTATACTACCATTAAGCTTGGGTTATAACTCAACTTGATGCGACTTCGAGAAAGATAGAAATAGTGATAAAATATATTATATAATGCTTCAGTAAAGAAATCGAAACCTCTGATGACTGCTGTAAGTGGTTTTCTCTTCTTATTGCAAGTGTTGTGTGATAGAGGTAAAAAATAGAAACCAAATCGTCGCAATGTTTTCTATTTCAACTTACAATGACTGAAAGGTCAATACTAATAGGGCTATCATAGCAGATTTCATAGCTGCATAAGTTTCAGTCACTTTCTTTCAACGGATTTTAATGCAAAAGCAAGTATTGTGAGCTATTGCTGTTAAAATTGTTTTATAGTCTTTTTTCTAGTTCGGTGAACCATCAATGCCTGTCAATAGCTGACAAGTGAGCTTAGTTTTGCTCTTTTAACACGCAGTTAAGGCAGATCTCATATTGAGCGGAGCAACTCTCACCCAGTAGAAAGTTTTGTAGATGTTGAGCACATGCTTCGGTTAGAGCACTAATTTTTGGTAACATAAGATATGTGTGCAAAAGGAACTATATAGTGCAAGGTTCACTCATTTCAATCCTCAAAACAAAATAAGTCAAAAATAAAATCAAGCGAGAGAGATTTATTTTCTCACAGTCAACACATGTCTTTAAACGTCCTTAGCAGCCGTTATTGTTGTTGTTTATAAGCCTAGCCAGGGTTTTGAATGCTCTTACTGAAGTTTTATCTCTGGAATGCGAACAATTTCTAAGTTAATATAAACAGTCGCACTTACATACATATTATATAACATAAAAAATAAAACAATGCGTTTTTTATAAGCAGCACTATGTGCTTCTGTTGAGCTTTATTACAAAACTGAAAACACTTAACTTTAAGKTTTATAATCTAACCTATGCTTGAGCCGGCCTACGTGACCAAAGATGCTTGGTCAGCTAAAAGGGTTTGCGCGTGTTTCGCTCACTTAAGAATTTAGCGGATGCGCGTTNTTTGTATGTTTCTAGCATATAATGTGGGAATGGAATTTATGTAGAAGTTCATAAAATGTTGTGTTAACTTATATGTTAGTCTAGCGTGGAAGATGTAGGTTGCATGGCTCGTTACGTTAATGGGCGCCAGCAATTCAAGTTAATTTATGTGCATGGAAACCCATCCACAACGACAAAAATGCAAGCAAGTATGAGAAACAGCGCAAACAGCCCCTTTTTACTATAAAGGCGTACTCACAGTGGCATGGGTGTGTGTATAAAATTTGCTAACGAACTCGCTTGGGCTGTTTGGCCAGTAAAAAGCGCATAATATGCGCCTTATAAAATTTGAAATAAACATAAAAAGTCACATTAAGACACGGTAAGACACAAAGGCATGAGCTAATGAACCAAGAAAGTTGCAAAAAATAAGGAAAATTAGACACGGCGAAGAGCTGCAATCCTTCTGCGACGACTAGGTGAAAGTTGGCGAACGATACACACTTTTATAATGGTGGGTAATGATGCAACAACAATAACAACTGGTAAACATAAAATAAATTTATTACACATAATTAAGCGTAATAAGAGAAATATGTATCTGCTAAATTAGAAGCGTCCAGTTTACGACTTACCTTTAGTCTCAAAGCTGTTCCTTGTTTTTTGTACAATTTTGCAGTTAAAATGATTTCCGTGTATTATTAATTTTATTTCATTTTCACTAAATTCTTCGTCAGTTTTGGTATAACTGCTGGCTGCTATAAATCTGCAAAAGTTCCAAAATTAAAAGTCAGCTTTATTAAGCGCATTAGAAATACTTTTTGCAGTTCTACTTACTATAATTTTTATAAAAATATTTAAAATATGAATTAGAAATCAGCTCTATAGTGAATTTGGTGTGACCACTCTTAAACTCTCTCACATTCACTTCGAATGTTAGCAGATTTATATTTCTTTCGTTGTGTTAGTGAACCTGCAATTCTCGCCAAGTTTTTGAAAAATTTTAATTTGGTCTCAAAAGCTTAAGTAAGTCAAAAATGCTATGTTAGAAGCCTAAATTAACTGATGAATGAAAGTGCTCAGTTTATCGTAGTTGGTTAAGTAAGAGGATATCAAGGAAAGAGTCATAGGTTTTGAAGTTAATAACATGGTGAATTCAAAAGAAGCTGATGTGTTGTTAAGCTAAAGAGTAAAAGCTTTCTAACACTCGTAAGATTAAGCTAGTAACAATCATATTTCAAGTCATAAATTCAAAAAATTGCTTTGAAGACCTGGTGGAGAAAAACCTTTCTGCGCCTGGAATTTCAAATTATCACTACATTGCGAAGAGAAGAAACTCCTGACGGACTGTTGTTAACTCGGTGTATACGCCAGTAAAGAAGAAGAATTTTTAAGTAAAGTAAATTCCTAATATTGATCCACTGGAAGGTGACAGGAATATATTTTTTTAATAAACCAATAAAATGATGATGTTCGGTTATTTTAAAATTCAAAGTCAGAATAGCGCAAATTTAGTTTGTCGATGTTTAGAAAGAAAATCAGTTTACTTTTCTCTCAACACTTTCATTTGATAAAGCTTGAGTGTAATAATAAAAAGCTTATTTAAGAAACAATAATTAAAAGTGGTGATCGTATCTTCAGGTAATTTTATCACCTCCATCTTTACAGGTTGGGCCCCTTATGTCTCCCATCTCAACAGTTGTTCTATTTCTGACTTTTCATGGACCCTACGAGAAATCTTACATTTAGCAAAGGTGAAATATTGTTTATAGTTCTAATATTTTGTAATGAAATTTTTCATTTTTATATTTCCCAGAGTATCATTATTTTTTCTACCTAACGATTGTGTGCAACAATTAAACGAGATCATACGATTTATGTCAAAAAATTCAGGTTGAGGAAATAGTTTTCTACAAAATGTAATTTAGTGCAGGAGATCAGGCTAGAAAAAGGTTCTAAAGCAGTTTCAAAATATTCGAAATATGGGCGAGGCCTGCCTCTAATATCTTTACAACACAAAATCAAGGAAAGTCCTGATGATTTTTCAAGATAACTCAGGGTAAGCAGGCTGCCTGACGCCATTTTTTATGATTTTCCGAAATATTACTTATTTAGCATTTAGCTATAATTTTTAATTTTTTTCAGCAAAAACATCAACAGAACTAGCATTTTCAAAAATTGAAGAAAACCTAAATTGCATGATTTTGTGCAAATACTTTTTTATTCAAAAAAAACGGCTTAAATATTTTTTTTTTTTAATTHTAGTTCGTGCGAGAAATCCATAACGGCAGTTCAAAAAAAAAATGATTTCAAGAAAAAGTTTTCTGAACGCACTCTAAAGTCCTTATTTTCTCATTAATGTTTGGTATACGCTTGTCTTTCTGAAGTACATATATAAAGTGCATTCCACAATTTTTACGATGAAGGAAATTATTCTACAAAGAATTTTCATTAAATTTTATTTACGGAATTAAATGTGTTATTGAAACGTTCAGAATGTTGGAAAAGGCCTTCGGTGATAATTTTGTGTCGCGAGCAAGTATTTTTGATCGGTACAAATTATTCAAATAGGCTCGAGAACTCTTTTACTATGAACCACGCCGTGAACGGCCATCAACAGCCACTGATGAGCAACACGTCAATAAAATGAAGGAACTGGTGTTTATGAATGGGCGGTTAACAGTCAGCTTTGGAATATTGGAAATACATAACAGTGAAAACTATTTTGAAAGATCAGTGCAAGCACGACAGGTGCCAAAATCACAAATTTTTTTCAAAAAACAGCGTCGCGTTAACGTTTGTAATACAATGCATGAAACATGAAACGGATTATTACGAGTCTTCGATGTATGCTTGCGACAAGGAAGCAGACAATCAGTCAGCCGAATACCGTGGCAAGCATGAGTAGAGCCGAAAAACCACTTCAAAGCAGATCTAAACCCAGACAGACAGTTTTTTTATATTCTTAGATGATCAAGGTGCTGTTCTCTCCAAATTTCTTCCGACCGACCACACTGTCAACGGGTGATACTATTCGAGTGTTATGCGTCGTTTGCGCGAAAGTATTCGTAAACAGAGGCCTGAATTATGGGCCAACAACTCTTGGCATGAGTGTGTTAGGGCCAAAGGAAATTATTTTGATGAGAACGGTATAAATTTTGAATAATAAATTAAGTATTTTAGGATTATGAACAAAGTCTGACTATTTTTTGTTGCTCATAGCAATATTTATATCGCAGACCCTAAATGTTTCCTTCTGGGTGTTTGCAAATGTAATATTTCTTGTTTAAGGAATAAAATTAAAACAAGAATAAGATTAAAACATACATACATATGTATGTATATATATTTGCACTTTTAACTGAAAAATAATCAGCATCATCACGAGGTTAAAAAGATTTGTCCCTCGTCTAAACTGTGTTTTGTTTTTATCACTTTAAAGCCTATATCAAATTAGAATATATAAACGTCTTATATCCGTATATTATCTATATAAAAATGTTATATAATTGCATTTATATAGACATAAACGATCTATCCCAGCCAAAAACAGAAAATACGCAACTGGAATTGCCTTTCAGGCAATGACAACAATCTTCAAGTTAACTTAATTAACTTGTATTTGTTTGACTAGGATTTTGTTAACGTGTTTGTACAAGCACAATCAGTATTATTTGTTTATTTCTTTATATACCCAGGGGTATTAAGCTCGGTTGTATGGGTGTATGCACATATACATATATGTTTGTAAGTGTGCTTAAACGAAGTGTAAGGAAGGCAGTAAGCGAATGACCTCGAAGTGGCATTCGTAAATAGCATTTATATAATTATATATACATGCGAGGATATATGTATTTATCTTTATTTTTATTTGTGTGTTAAGCAATTGGGTTACGGCCGCTTTAAAATAATACCCTGAGGCGAAACGGCAACTAACTTGAACTTTCCGCTGCTTCAAGTAGCTGCTTTTCACCCTAATGTAGGAAGACAGAAAATGCTTGATTTACTTACATTTGAAGCAGGAAAATAAATACTCACGAAATCAAAGGAAAACTTGCCGTTTTATTTATTTATAGTATAAGTGACTGCAATATGAGCTTTCTAGTTGTTAGAGCATTTAACTTTTTGAGTAAATATAAGTTGGTATTATTGAGATTAGCCTGAAGGTTAATAGTATGGTATGTAACAAAGGTTTAATATACAAGTTGCTTGATCTGTTTTTCTAACGTTAAGAAATATATTTCAATGCTTTTATATTCAGTAATAAAGCTCTTAATCATTTTTTCGTTGGAATAGGTCTTCAGTTAATACACTTTAATACTGCATAACATAATTGTTGGCATTAATTATTTAGATGTAGACCTAAAATTTGGCTCTGAGTGTCAAAAACAGGAGATTTGCTTTAAAACTTTTAAGGAAGTAAAACAATTACTTAGTATGGTATTCTTAAAGGTGTAGACTATCAGACAATGCAGGGCACTCACTTAGTACCTAAAACTCCTCTAAAATTTAACAACAAACATGCCTAAATCGAAAAAGCGCTTTTGGCCGAATGAGTAGGTATATTTGACAAAAAAATTACACTTTATATTTGCAAAAACCTATCAAAATTCTTTAATTAAAGCCAAATAGACATGTGTGCATAAGAAATATTAAACGTAGATGGCTAAGAAACTGCTTGGGTATTGTATACACTGCTTTTTAGCAAACAAAAATGCACACACACCATAAAACTGAATAAAGAAATAAGAAATAAATTTAACAGTCTCCTAAATCTATCTTAAATTTAAAATGTTTTGTACTTTTATATGTTATACTATATATATTTATATTTTCAGGTATATATTACTTTCCTTTCAGTTATATACCAGTTATATTTTCACATAGCCACATAGGCATATGTATTCACCTCAGTTTGTATTTAGAATAAAAAATATTATTTGCAAATTGCAATCTCATGGCTCAAACTCTCCACAGTCTGCTCACATAATTCTCACACAATGCTTTTCTTTCAAGTTAAACAAGTAAGGAAGGGCTAAGTTCGGTTGTCACCGAACATTTTATACTCTCGTATGATAAAGTGATAATCGAGATTTCATTATCCGTCATTTGCATATTTTTTTATTTTGCTGTAAAATTAATTAGATTATTGTAGATCAATTTGTGTACTTTGAGTATTGAATTGTATTTTCATTTATTTTAATTGTATTGAAAAGATATAGTCCGATCACGACAATTTTTCCACAAGGGATACCTCAGCTCAAATACCGTATTTGTGTAAAGTTTTATTAAGCTATCATCATCGGTTCCTAATGTATATATTATACAGGGAAGGCATCAGATGGAATTCAAACTAGCGTTATATTGGAAGAAGGCGTRGTTGTGAACCGATTTCATCCATATTTCGTACATGTATTCAGAGTGTTAAGAAACTATTATGTACCGAATTTCATTGAAAGCGGTTTTTGGTCCATAAGTGGGCGACACCACGGCCATTTTCAATTTACATGCAAAGCCTGGGTGCAGCTTCCTTCTGCCATTTCTTCTGTAAAATTTAATGTTTCTGACGTTTCCGACTAACAAGGTTAACGCACTTTTCGTGATTTTCAACACAACCTTTGTGTGGGAGGTGGGCGTGGTTATTATCCGATTTCTTCCATTTTTGAACTGTATATGGAAATGCTTGAAGGAAACGACTCTATAGAGTTTGGTTGACATATCTTTAGTAGTTTCCGAGGTGTGTACAAAAAACTTAGTAGAGGGCGG